TCCAGAGGACGTGAGTTCAATCCCAGTGTCTACATGATGGCTCTCAACTGTCTGCCACTCCAGGCCTGGGTCAAAGGAGACCTCATTCTGTTGCTCTCTTCTGGCCTCTATGGGCAGTGCACACACGTGCTACACAGACACACATGCAGGCAAACACACACATAAAATAACAATCTCAAAAAAAAATAAATAAATCTTGAAAAACTTTTCCTGCCAGGCATGGTAGCCCACAGTTTTAATCCAAGCACTTGGGAGGTAGGTGCAGGCAGATCTTTGTGAGTTTGAGGCCAGGATGGTCTACATAATGAGTTTCAAGACAGGTAGGCTATATTGAGAGACCCTGTCTTGAGGGGGCAGAGAGAAGAAAAGGAAGGAAGGAAGGAAGGAAGGGAGGGAGGGAGGGAAGGAGGAAGGAAGGATACTCCTACTGGACAAGGGAATGAGCTACCCTGTCTAGAGAGCTTGGCTTCTCACACCTGGTTCAGGGATGGTGGGTTTTTATCAAGAGGAAGAAGAAGGAGGAAGAGGAGGAAGAGGAAGAAGAATAGGGAGGCGGGGTGGATCTGGGAAGAGTTAGGAATAAAGTAGTGTGTTAAAAAAACAGCCAAGCCGGGCGGTGGTGGCGCACGCCTTTAATCCCAGCACTCGGGAGGCAGAGGCAGGCGGATCTCTGTGAGTTCGAGGCCAGCCTGGTCTACAAGAGCTAGTGCCAGGACAGGCTCCAAAGCTACAGAGAAACCCTGTCTCGAAAAACTAAAAAAAAAAAAAAAAAAAAAAAAAACAACAAACAAACAAAAAAAAAAAACAGCCAAGTTCTAGCCTGTCAACAAATAAAGCAAAAATAAAAGACAAGATGACTGGGTGGTATGGCGCACTCCTTTAATCCCGGCACTTGCAAGGCAGAGGCAGGTCGATCTCTGTGAGTTCCAGAACAGCCAAAGTTACAGAGAAATCTTGTCTGGAAAAACCAAACCAGCCAAACAACAACAAAACCCCAGAATGATTCCACATTGTGAGTTTCTGTTTGGTAAACAGAAAGGGGAAGGGCCCTGCTTTGCTTTCTCCTGCTAAAAGCTCCTGCATAAACACCTGACCAAATGGACCTGGGGAAGAAAGGGATTTTATCACCTTACAGCTCACAGTCCAGCAAGAAAGGATGCCAGGGCAGGAACTCAAGGCAGGAGCCTGGAGCAGAGGCCATGGAGGAACTCTGCTTATTGGCTGTTCTTAGACAGCCCAGGGGGTGGCACCGCCCACGGTGGGCTGGACCCTCCACAGTCAGTCATCAGTGAAGGAAATCCCCTTCGGGCCAACTTGATGGAGGCATTTTCTTCAACTGAGGTACCCTCTTCCCAGAAGACCCTCACTTTTAGTCAAGTCAGCAAAAACAACATTATCTCATAGAGACTCCTTATTATTTTTTTTAAGATTTATTTATTAATTATGTACACAGTGTTCTGTCTGTCTGTATGCTTGCTGACCAGAAGAAGGCACCTGATCTCATTAGAGATGGCTGTGAGCTACCATGTGGTTGCTGGAAATTGAACTCAGGACCTCTGGAAGAGCAGCCAGTGCTCTTAACCACTGAGCCATCTCTCCAGCCCCTCCTTATTATTTTCTTCATCCTAACTTCGCAAGATGAAGTTGGTCAAATCTGCAGCTAGTGAGCTACCGACATTGTGTACCAGGCTACAGCAGCAACAATGGAAATCGTGCCAAAGGGAGCGTGTGCTTTAAGGAGAGGCCAGTGGGCCCCGAAGCCTGGGCCACTGTCTTACACAACCTGTCTGTTACATTCCAGAATGTGCTTAAATTTTTCAATAAATTTTTTTAAATTATTATGTATACAACATTCTGCCTCCATGTATGCCCTCACGCCAGAAGAGGTCGACAAATCTCACTACAGATGGCTGTGAGCCACCATAGGGTTGCTGGGAATTGAACTCAGGACCTTTGGAAGAGCAGCCAGTGCTCTTAACTGCTGAGCCATCTCTCCAGCCTCAATAATTTTTTTAAAAAAGCCAGGCGGTGGTGGCACGCAGGTGGATCTCTGTGAGTTCGAGGCCAGCCTGGTCTACAGAGTTGTAGGACAGGCCCCAAAGCTACAGAGATAAGCCCTGTCTTGAAAATCACCAACCCCAAGCCGGGCGATGGTGGCGCACGCCTTTAATCCCAGCACTCGGGAGGCAGAGGCAGGCGGATATCTGTGAGTTCGAGACCAGCCTGGTCTACAGAGCTAGTTCCAGGACAGGCTCCAAAGCCACAGAAAAACCCTGTCTCGAAAAACCAAAAAAAAAAAAAAAAAAAAAAAGAAAAAAAAGAAAAAGAAAAAGAAAATCACCACCCCCAAAAGAAAATAAAAAAAGGAAAGTCAAAAACCATCACATGATCAGCTCTTTCCTCTGAATGGCAGGCCATGTGTGGTCTCCTCCTTTCTGTATTTCCCTTGTAAATTACCCTGAGACAAAAATGAACAAGACTTCAAAAATATGTATCCTATCCAAATTAACACCATCTTTTCAGAGAGTGCTTGTAGGTACCGCAAGCCTCACAAACTTTAGAAACTTGGGCATGATGACTCTTGCCTGCATTAGAAATAATCACAAAGAAACAGCACAAAGGAACGCACACAAATAAAACCAAAGTATTCAGCCAAGCAGTTCATTCTGCAAAAAGAATGGGCTGCAACAAAAACCAGGCTATCAACACAACTGGGCCAGTAAGGCTTCCTTTATCCCCCCATGGAGGCAGTGGCTCATCCCATTGGTGGGAGGGCGGGACTTCGCGATCTGATGTGATTGGCTAATCTCTTCGAAGAGACTGGGGAAGGGAGGTTTAGGAATGTGAGACCTTGCTTCGCTAATTACCTTTGGTTTAAAAACAACAAACAAACGATAAAAACACAAAACACACCAACAACAAACATTTCTGGGACTAGAGAGACAGTTCGATGGTTAAAAGTACTGGCTGCTCTTGCAGAGGACCCAAATTTGGTGCCACATAGTGGCTTACAACCACCTGAAACTTCAGTCCCAGGGGACCCGATGCCTTCAGGTATTCGAGGTCACCAGGCCACCCCTAATACACATCCATCCTATAGGTAAAACACTCATAACACATGGAATAATTTTTTTTTAAAAAAAGAAAACCTCACACGCTTGTGATTTTCAAATGTAGGGGGCTGAGGCAGGTGGATTGCCTAAATCTGGAGGCAAGCTTAGGCTAAAAAAAAATGAAACTATTCCGTTTTTGTTTGTTTGATACAGTGATCCACCTGCCTCAGCCTCCTGAGTGCTGGGATTGAAGGTGTGCACCACCATGCCTGGCTGTTTGATTTTGAGGCCAGCCTGGCCCACACTGAGTTCTAGGCTTACATAGGCAACGTGGTGAGTTACAGGGCTACCCTGGGCTACAAGATGAGACCAAAAAGACATCTATGTGAGCTGGTGTGGGGGGCACTAACCTGTGGCTCCAGCAGGGATTGATGTGTGAAGATACCTGGGCAAGCACATGCAGTGCACCCTGGGAAATTAATTACCCAACACCCAGAGCTGGCTGACTGAATGGTGAGGTGTCCAGGAAGGTGGAGTGGCAGGGTCATTGCCACATGTCAATAACCCCAGACCTCAGGCAAATCCACGGCCAGCCTCGTCTACCGAGTGGGAGACACAGGTTGCAAGGGCCAGCAAGATAACTCAGCAGGTAAAGGCTCTTGCTCTGAATTCCTGGACTGAGACAGGAGAGAACTCGGCAGGGTAGGGCCCAGGGTGGATGGAGGCCTGAGAGACCGAAGCGGGGCCTTGTTGCCTAAGGATCTCAGTTCAATCCCTGGGCCCACAAGGTAGAAGAGCACTGATTTCAGGTTGTCCTCTGGCCTCCACATATGTACCATGCATGACACATGTACCCACATACACACAAAGAATACAGACAGACTTTTTTAAAAAAATATTACAGTTGAGCCGGGCAATGGTGGCGCACGCCTTTAATCCCAGCACTCGGGAGGCAGAGGCAGGCGGATCTCTGTGAGTTTGAGGCCAGCCTGGTCTACAGAGCTAGTTAAAAAAAAAAATATTACAGTTGACTACTGTCCCTTGGGTTTGTATGAACCCCATCTTGGCCCTGGCCTCCCCTGCTCACTCAGAGGTTAGGGCATGTTCCCAAGACCCTGGGCACCAACTTTAGACAGCTCCAGCTTCCCAGGCTCCTAGAGGCCCCATTAAGTCCTTGCCCTGCTCCTAAGTCTAGGACTCTAAGGCTCCAGGCTGCTGCTTCCACCCCAGGACTCCAAGCCCAGCTACACCCTTCCCTGTGTCTGATCCTAGGTGAGGAGGGACTGGTCCTGTCTGGGTGGAGTTTGGGGAATGGACAAGACAAGAGACCAGGCCAGGAAGAGAAGGCAAGAGTTGCTGGTGTAGTACCAGGACTGGAGGGAGCTTCAGGCACTGTGTGCCGCCACCTCTGGCTGGCTCAGCAGATGGTACTGGCCAAGCTGCCTCCCTGGGCAGTGCACCTGCTCTACCCTGTGCTGTGGGCTGGAGCCACGCTGCTGCCTATCTTGAGCCCAGGTTCGCAGTCAAGAGGCCACTCCCTGCATTCCCTACCGTGAGGGCTGGAAAAGAACAGGTCTCGAGGTCCTGTCTCCCGGTTCCTGCCAGTTGCCCAGTGGCACCACGCTGGAGCCACTGTCCCCACCTCTCTCTTACTCATGAGCATAGCTGTCCACTGTCCAAGGCACTTGAAGAGTAAGGGTCATATGTGGCCCACCGGGTCACTTGCTTAGGTATCCACCCCACCCTGTGTTCTCCCTGGCCACCCTTGGGGCCTCTTACCCTGATTTCCCACCAGCCCCAGCTTCACACCATAGCACACCGGGACTGACTTCTTCCCACCCTCACAGTTGGATTTCTTGGCTTTCTTTTATGAGAAGGTCTCGCTTTGTAGACCAGGCTGGTCTCCAACTCAGAGATCCCCCTGCCTCTGTCTCCTGTGTGCTAGGATTAAAGGTGTGCTCTGTCACACCCAGCCACTTGAATTTCCTTCCAGTTTCCGACCAATGTCAGTGTCACTATGGCAGCTGGGGTCACAGGACCCCTGATCAGTGCTCTCAGCCTTACTGCAAGGGGGGCCGTCACTGTCCCTTGACATGCTGTCTTTCCCACTGCAGTGCTAAGGGGCAGGACTGAGGAAGTACTGCAGGAGTGGACCCTCAGGGCCTCTGAGGGGGCCAGCTCCATCACCCAGTCCCCTCCGAGGGGCCGGCTCCATCACCCAGACCCCTCCCCCCAAGGGGGCCGGCTCCATCACACAGACCCCAGATCATGCAATCGTCGTGGGTGATACATGTTCCTGCACCAGGCCGCTGGCAGGTCCTTACTAGAACACCTGGCAGTCACAAGCCCACCTTCCTCAAGAGGAAAAACACAGAAATGGACAGATGTTCATTTGCCCAGCTTTGGCCTCTCAAGCCTCTATCCACCCTGGGCCCTACCCTGCTGAGTTCTCTCCTGTCCTAGCCCAGGAATTCAGAGTAAGTCATCTCTCTTCTTGGACCCTGAATCCCTCGGCTAAAATGCTAAAATGGGCCTGGAGAGATGGCTCAGTGTTTAAGAGCAGCGGCTGCTCTTCTGGGAACCCAGATCCATTTCCAGCACCCACATAGTGCCTCACAACTGTCTGTAACTCCAGCTTCCGGGGATCCAACACCCTCTTCTGGCTTCCATGGGCACCAGGCACACATAAGACACAGACATGCCTTCATACAAAACACCCATATGCATAAAATGAAAACGCAGGAACCAAGTCTTCGGACATACCATCTAAACGCCCCTAATCTTGTCTAAAATGCTGGAATGCCTCCTTCTTAAAATTATTTCAAGTATCAAGTGGGGTGGTGAGGGGGACAATGACCTATGAAGGTACATCCAGCCTAATGCTCACTCAAAATAGGGGTGGGAGTGCAGGGAGGGGAGTTGGGGCAGAGAACCCATCTATGGTTTTTGTTTTCCTTAGACGAGCACTCCAAGACCAAAGGTCTCACCTCACCACAAGAGGGCAGTGCTGTCCACTACGGCGCTGTGGCCCGGTGGGACTGAAGCCTAGGCTAGCTGGCCTTTCCTTAGGTCTCACTAAGCAAATCTCACCACGGAGGGGCATGGGACCCACTGGGGCAGCCCCCTGAGCTTCCAGGCGGCCACTCCTGTGTCTCCACCGGTGGAGCAGGAAAACAGCATCCAGGTGGCAGAGCTATAGGGAAGCTATAGGCAGGACAGGATTTGGACATCTCTGGATCCCAAGCCAAAGGCCACGTTACCAGGGATCCGCTGAAGAAAAGGACTTCGCTGGAGCAGCCTGATGGTGTGTGATTTCCACAAATAGGCCGTCTGTGCTGTCTGGGTGCCAGAAACGAACCCATCGTGGTGTGCAGGTCTATAATCCCAGCACTTCGGAGGTACAGGCAGGCTGTTAGTTCAAGCTTGTCCTCGGCTACATTGTAAGTTTGAGGCCAACTTGGGCTAAGTGAAACCAGTCTCAAACAAGCAAAACATACAAACACCAGAACCCTAAAAATTCCCAGCAGGCACCAGGCCAGCTGGGACAGCAAGGACACTGGAAATAGGAAACACGGGGCATTCACAGGTCACACATTGCTGTTTAATGACTAACCCTGAACAGGTCTCAGGAGGACTCTGGGACACCACACACACACACACACACACACACACACACACACACACGTGAGGTTTTCCACAGGGGTAGACGTCTGGTATCTTCAAACCTCATAGATACTGAACAAGCCCAAAGTTCACTTTCCGTAGCTGGCCGGCGGAAGCCCATCACCGACTGCCTTTCGGAGGAGCGAAGGCCTTGAGCAGGCAGGCAGAGCTTACTGTATGGCACTCACCATTCCTCAGCCTGTACTAAGGCACTCGGAACAAAGAACGGAGAGTTGTCAACAGGGACGTGCAGACCTGCCCACCTCTGAAAAATAGCAAGCACCCCAGCTGCGCAGTCTGAGAGGGATCTGGCCGCCGCTGGGTCTCTTGTGAGGACACATACCAGCCAGGTGTCTCTCTTTGGGCTGGCCAGAGTTGTGGGTAGGTTTGAGAAGTCTTCATTTTTAGCCCTGGACGGAATGATGGCTTTGTTAGAGAATCCTCTGTCCTTTCGATTTTTTTTTTTTGTTTTGTTTTGTTTGGTTGGTTTTTTGAGACAGGGTTTCTCTGTGTAGCCCTGGCTGTCCTGGAACTCGCTCTGTAGACCAGGCTGCCCTGGAACTCACAGAGCTCCGCCTGCCTCCACCTCCCCAGTACTGGGATGGAAGGCGTGCACCACCACGAGGCACGAGGGGGTGTGGGTAATGTTTAAGGGTCAAGGACATTCTGTCCATCTTGACAGTTCATCTGTAAGTGGTTCTAGTTGGGCATCCAGACCCCAAGAGGCTAAGAAACACACGCACACACACTGGGCTCAGGGATCCAACACACCTAGGTGGCCAGGAACCCGGGACCTGAGCCCATCCCTCTTTTAGAAGGGACACCAAGTCGCCAGGCTCAGCCTCGGTGGCTTCTGTCCACAGTGTGGTAGATGAAGAGGTTCCAGCCACTGGTCACATGTGATGGGCCACTTCCCAGAGGATCTGTAGGGCCATGGAGACACAGGCGAACTGGGCCAGGACATAGGCTCCAGAGCGGACACGTGGGTTCAGCTTGCCCAGGTAGGCTACCGTGTGCACCACACGGCCTGTGAGGACAACAAGGAAATGGATCCAGGCGATCAAAGGTTCAGGTCCCAGGAAGGAGTAGACGAAGCCCAGGAAGAGGAAGGGGTAGATAGTCTCCATGTCGTTGCGGTGGGCTCTGGGGGGCAGAGGGGTACAGTCAGCAGGCTTAGTTCTGGGACTCCCAATCCACCAGGGAACTCTTGAGGCTGCCAGATACCCAATCCCTTGCTGGCCCATAAGCTAGAATGTGTAGGGCCAAGAGGGGCAGTGATGCTGAGCTTTTACCCAGATGTGGCTGAGGCTCAAAGCCCAGTTAACAGCTGGGGTAACGGGGCTCCTATGGGCCCAGTCCATCCCACCTTCCCCACACTGTCCCTTCTGACACCAAGGGAGGAGGACTCAGAGGATAGGGTTGGGTGAGTGACAGGGATTCCCTGAGACAGGGCTGAGACATGCCTGCCCTCTGAATGCAGGATTGGGACCCTGCCTGGTGCTGCCTCTGTCCCTTTCCGCCCCAACAGCGGACTAAGCATCATCTTTGCCGGGCTAACCATAGGATTCTTCCATTCACCAGCCCAGTTAAGCACAGGACTCTGGCCAGTCTTCCCTGCTTCACGCGTGCTATCCCACTCTTTCATAAGCGTGTGGCAGGAAGGCTGCATCCAACCTTACCATAAATAATAACCAAGGAAGAAATCTCTCACTGGCTGTCACTCAATTTCCACGGCCCTGTTTATACTGCCTCATTTAAAAATGAACCAGGCAGTCAAAGCCCGTGAACTAGGGACAGCGAATGCCTGGAGCCATCGATGACCGCTTAGATAAACAATGGCCGAGCCATGACCTTCCCCAGGACAGGCTCCATCACTCAGTCTGAGGACTCCGGCTTCCAGCTGCAGCCCATCTGACCAGCGGCACCAGGCCACTGGCAAGCCCAGCCTGGCCCCAGCGCGGCTGTGGTGAACCACTACGGAGGCCTTCTTTTCCCACTGGAAAATGAGTCTTAGCAAGAGCCACCAGCAGCTTACTGAGTGAAGGGCAATAGAGGTAGAGCCCAGTAGAGGCCTGGAGCACCCAGCGCCCCAATGCTGCGGGGGTGGGGGTGGGGTGGCAGGGGACGGGGGCAGTAGTCAGGGCTGGAGAGATGTGTTAGAGCCTAAATGATGAGAAGCTGGCCAGGCAGAGGAAGAACCTTCTTGGGAAGTACCCAGCATACACAAAGGCCCTGTGGTAAGAACAGCACAAGAATTCAGAATTGACCTGTTTGCTGAGGGAAGTGAGCAGGTGAGCAGGAGAGAGGCCTGGTAACCGGAGGAAAAGAAATTCAGCCAAGGGCATAAAAATTCTTAAGAAGGGCGGGGGGGGGGGGGGGAATGTAGTTTAGCAGGTGGATTGCTTATCCCCAGCTTTGCTTAGAATAAGGTGTGGTGGGAAAAATAACTACGGTCAAGGGTTCAAGGTCAGGGCTTGGAGAGCTGGTGGTGTCAGGCTCGAATCTCAGCACCCACAGAGTGGGTCACAACCATGTGTGACTCCAGTTCCAGGGGATCTGATGCCCTCCTCTGGCTTCTGAGGGTACCAGGTACCAGGCACACACATGGTGCACACATACATACATGCAAGTAAGCACATGTAAAATAAAAACAAATAAATCTTGGTCATACTAGGCTAGTGAGTTGAGGCAGGCCTGGGCTGTATAAGTCTCTCTCTCTCTCTCTCTCTCTCTCTCTCTCTCTCTCTCACATACACACACACACACACACACACACACACACCAGACATACCCATAAACCAACACCACAGCACCCCCCACATGATTCTGTACACACAGACGCCACACACACACACACACACACCCTTTTTCCAGCAGGGCCTGGAACTTTCTCAGGTATGGCAGTCAGCCTCTCTCCCCTTGAGACCCATCCCTATGCCCTTCCTTCTCCTCACCGTGATCATGAACTTGTGACTGGACACAGGGAAAGCAGGTCTGTATGGCTGGTAAGATCAGCTCTCAGCTTGCTGGGGGATAGACCACAGGGATGCATGGCACCGGTGATGGGCCTGGATGGACTCTGGGGGCTGATGACAGGGAAGGGTGGGAAACCTAAGAGCGGAAGCCATGGTGACTCCCCACGCAAGACAGTTCCTTCTCATCACATGGGTCACCAGAGATGGGGCAGGTTTCCCTCAGATCACAGCACCCTATGACACGGAGCAGTATCTACACAGCCTCTGTGTCTTAGTTATGGGAACACCTTGAAAGTCCATTGCAGAAAGATGCCTGCAGATGAGCTCTGCCTCCACAGGGCCTATGGGATGATTGTCACAGTGCCGGGGAACGCTCGAGGGGAGGGGCTCGGGTGCCAGACTGTCTGCTCCTTAAGACATGGGAGCTGAGGACTGGGGAGACGGCTCCATCTGTAAAGGGTCAGCTGTGTAAGCATGGAGAACCAAGTTCAAACCCCAGAAGCCACATGAAAAACTATGTGTTCCTGTACCCACCTGCAATCCCAGCTCAGAGGAGTGGAGACAGGAAGCCCCATGGGCTAACCTAGTTCCAAGTTATGAAGCTGTCTCAAAAACCAGTGGGACAGCACCTGAGAAATGGCAGCCGAGGCTGGCCCCTGGGCTCACACAAGTGTACAAGCAAGGTGTGTTGAGTGAGAGTCAAGGCCAGGTGGTGGTGGTGGTGGTGGTGCTCGCCTTTAATCCCAGAAGGGAGAGACAGGTGGATCTCTGTGAGTTCAAGGCCAGCCTGGTCTACAGAGTGAGTTCCAGGACAGCCAGGGTTACACAGAGAGACACCCTCTCTTGAACCTCCCTGTATTCTGCACTTGGAAGGCTGAGGCAGGAGGTTTACCATGAGTCAGGAATTCAAAGTCAGCCTCAACACCCTAGTCAGTCTGGAGCTACGAAAGGCCCTATCCTGAAGAAATGTCAGAAGATGATGGCTCAGCGATTGGGAGCATAGACTGCTCTTGCAGAGGATCTGCATGGTGACTCCCAACTGTCTGTAATGCCAGTTACAGGGGATCTGACGCCCTCTTCTGGTCTCTTTGGGCACTGCAGGTATATAATATAAAACACCTATACACATAAAGAAAAATAATGATTTTTTTAAAAAAGTCTTGGTATATGACTTAGCTGGTATAACATTTGCCTTAGCAATTAAAAGGTCCTGGTTTCAGTCCCCAGCAGCACATAAACCAGAGGTGGTGACACAAGCCTCTATTTCTAGCACTTAGGAGGTAGAGCCAGGAGGGGCAGAAGTCCAAGGTTACCTTCAGCTGGAGAGTCAGAGGCCAGCCTGGGCTACGGGGGACTCTATCTCAAAAACCAAACCAAACCAGGTTGAGAACAAATGTGACCAAACCTGAAGATCAGGGACAGGAGTGACCCCTGCTCTGTGGCAGGTCCCTGGTTGGGGAGGCGGGCCACCTCCTTGATTCCTCACCAGGCAGCAAAGGGGTGGCCCACGTGGGAAAGGTGGCTGGGAGCTCCCACCCAGGGCCTCCCTCCCTCATCTGTTAGAAGCTACAATGGGCCCCACAATGCCACGGCAGCGGTGCCTGGGGCAGGGAAGAATGGGGAAATCCGGATGTTGAAAAAATAAGGCTCACCTCTCCTCCCCTGCTACAGTCTCCAAACAGAGGCGTGGAAGGCGTCACGTACTGGGAGGCAGGGAGAAATGTGTCATTTCAGTAATGACATTCTGAGGCAAAAGTCACCCAAAACCAGTTCCCACCAGACGAGACTTGCACAGCCCCCTGTGGCTTCGGGCCTGCCCCTCACCCTCCCTCTGTAACAGAGCTGTCTTACTGCTCAGTGGGGAGAGACCTCTGGTGACCCCGGGTCAGGGCAGTGACAGCAGCTGGCGGTAACAAGTTACCTCTCTCCCAGCTCGTCACCCATGCTGCACAGGTACATGAGCTCAGGGTGCAAGGAGGACAGCTGCTCGGTGCCATAGGCAAAGGGAAGGGAAATCGGTAAGGGGTGGGGGCTGAGGCCGGGGTTGAAGCTTTACCTCCTGACAGAAGGCGTTACAGCCTCAGGGCCAGACCTCGGCACACCCTTCCATCTCTATAGATAACAACACTCTCCTCGGAGTGCTGGGGTGCTGTGGGTGTTGGTACCCAGAAAATAAGGAAAAGCAGCCTTAAATTTGTTACCACCACCCTCATCGTCGCCACCCCCAAATCTCAGCCCTGGCCTGGACACAACCGTGACTGCTCCTCATTCTCCTTGGGCTGACAACTCTGCTTTCCCCCCACCTACCGTGGTCACCTGGCCCAAGCAAAGTCACCAGAAGCCTTGATGATCCTCTAGATTCTACCCAGAGGCCAGGCAGTGCCATGGAACTATCTCAAAATGACAACCTGGACCTATGCCCACCCTACCTAACCCTAGTGAGGAATAGGGCTTCCGCCAGAGGTCCCCAACTCTGGCTGCTACCAAGGAACTGAGCCCACAGGCAGGTGTCCCTTCCTCTCTTGAGTCCGTGTCCCCTACTGATAAATGGACAGGCGGGATATCATTTTCAGAACATAGGAAGTCGGCACCCGGGGGCCAAATCTCTTGGCAAACTGCTTCTTTCTTTAGGCTAAAAGCCCAAACGGTAAGAAACAGATAAAATTTGGGTCAGGTGTCCCCCCAGGGGGAACAGTCCTGTGTGCGAATTGACACACAGCTGCAGGTGAACACATTTCCATTTGCAAGTGTGGGCAGGTGTCCGGGGACGAGAATGTGGCTGGCACCTGCCCAACAACCCCGCCTGGGGCAGCAAGGGAATGAAAGGAAGAAGAGACACAGAAAAGCTGGGGTCAGCGGGCCACTTGCTCGCCACTGGATGCTTACAGAACAGGGGAGGGGTCAGGAGGTCTGTGTAGCAGATCAGTCTCTGCCTGTAAACCCTTGAGGAGGCTACAGTTGCTAGTCTTTATACATCCTGCCAACGTTCGCACTGGGACCAAAGGAAGGCTTTGCCCATCCCCGGGCCTCACCTGAGGAAGGTTTTGTCATCCTCATGGGTCTGAGGCTAAAGCCTTTGGCATGGTCATGCCCATGTCAACAATACATGTTCACTCAGGGCCTCCTTCACTAACCCTTCCTGTCTCATGTTGGCTGTGCAAGCCTCTATGGTATACTGTACAGCTAAGGCTGGCCTCGAACTCCTGATCCTGCCGCCCCCACCTCCTCAGTGCTGGAATTCCAGGTGAGGACACTACAGGTGGCCTCAGTTCCATTCTTCCCCCAGGACTCGAGAGGCAGAGGCAGGCGGATCTCTGTGAGTTCAGAGCCAGCCCGGTCTACGAGATCTAGTGCCAGGACAGCGAGAGCTACATAGTGAGACTCTTATCTCGAAAAAAAAAATTAAGTTAACGTTATCTATTTTATTTTCTGTATGAATACTTTTGCCTACACGTATGCATGTGCACCACACGTGTGCCTAATGCCTGAGATCAGACAAGGGCATCCTGTGGGGGCTGGGACTCAAACCTGAGTCCTCTGCAAGAGTGATGAGTGCTCTTAAGGACCCTCTCTCTCCAGCCCCCTGAGTTCCATCCTTAAACCTGGTTCCTGATTGCCCCAGGACCAGCCTGGCTTGTCTCCAGAATGTGCTAATCTACAAGGCAGATTTATGCATGACCCAGGATCCAGGCTACATGCTTCCTGTGTTCACAGCCCTGTGGCCTGGGGCACCTGCCCTGGTTCTAATATTTAACTGTCCTCTCTCTCTTCTCTCTCTCTCTCTCTCTCTCTCTCCCTCCCCCCCTCCTCTCTCTCCTCTCTCTCCCTCTCTCTCTCTCCTCTCTCTCCTCTCTTTCTCCCTCCCTCTCTCTCCTCTCTCTTTCTCCTCTCTCTCCTCTCTCTCTCTCTCTTCTCTTTCCTCTCTTCTCTCTTCTCTCTCTCTCTCTCTCTCTCTCTCTCTCCCTCCCTCTCTCTCGCCAGTTCCTAGTGGTGGGCAGCCAGCATGAGTCTCAGTTCTGCACCCTCAGCTGACACGCTTTCTTCTTTGAGACAGGGTCTGATCTCTCGGCACAGCTCTGGCTGGCTTGAAACCCACTGTATAGATCAGACTGAACTCAAACTCACACACAGCCTCCTGCCTGTACCTCCCAAGTACCAGGATTAAAAAGATATGCTACCACAAGTAGCTGGCTTCTTTCCTTCCTTCCTTTTGTCAGGCAGGGTCTCATGTAGGCCAGGCTAGCCTCCAACTCTTATTTTATGCAAGCCCTCTACCAACCTGGGCTTCATCTACCCTCAGCTCTCTGTGATGCTCTAAGGAGTCAGGAGGGTTCTTGGCTACCCAGGTTCTGGCCTCCCCCACACCAAGCACCTAGCAAGTCCTGACTGAAGCCTCACGGGGACAGTAGCAGTATTAGGTAGGAATGTTCAGAAAATGCTCACTGAATACGAACCACTTAAGTTTCAGTACTAGAGAGTATAAGAAATCAAATCCAGCTACAAAGACAGCTCAGGGGTCAGGCACACTTATTTCTCCTGCAGAGGATCACTGGGATCAATTCCCAGCACCCATGTGGAAGCTCACAACCATCTGTAACTCCAGTTCCAAGGGATCCAATGGGCACATAAGGGTGCTTAGACCTGCATGCAGGGAAAACATTCATACACATAGAGTAAAGTAAATATAAAAGAAATATTAAAAAAGGAGAAAAGTCCTCCTTGGTAGGTGGGACCGCCTTAGAGTTCCTTTGTCTTCCCTGGACAAGGTTATGCCTTTAGGAGATAACAAAACACAACCTGTCGGGGCGGTGGTGGCGCACGCCTTTAATCCCATCACTCGGAGGCAGAGGCAAGCGGATCTCTGTGAGTTCGAGACCAGCCTGGTCTACAAGAGCTAGTTCCAGGACAGGCTCTAAAACCACAGAGAAACCCTGTTTCGAAAAACCAAAAAAAAAAAAAAAAAAAAAAAAAAAACCAACCTGTCAGCTCTTGCTGACAGCTGGCTGGGATGGCTGCCTGGGCCACTCAGTCTTTCCTTCTCAGTGGCTCAGAATGGCCCGGACAACCATGAGTCACCAATATGGGGTCACAGTTGTGCAAGGCCAGTGCCTGCCACAGAGGGTGCTCGTTAAACAACGAATGGCCGAGGATCTGACGAAACACATGCAGACCAGCCTGCATTTCATTCTGTGGGAAAGGATAGGGTGGCCTGGAGTTCCACTTCCTAGGCCACACTGTTGTCATTTTTCAAACCCACAAGTGTGTACATTACTGACAATGACGAACACAAACATAAGGAAACCCTCCCCAAACTTTGTCTGCAGAGGGGAATTCTGTTATGGAAGTGGCACAGCCCCACCCATCCCTGCCTGTGATGCCAGGGGATCTGCTGGGAGCTGTGTGCTGTGTATGTGGTCTGTTTCACGTCTCACCAGATCCAGCTGCCCATCTTCCTTGCTTCCATCACCCCAGTGCCCCCTCCTCATTCTGGATCACCGATGAGACAGGAAAGGAAGGTCCCCCAAACTAAAAACTGAGCCAGTTGCTAAAAATCGGCTTTCCGTCTGGAAGAGATTTACACAGCCAAGATGTTTTTGTTTTGCTTTCCTTTTTTTTTTTTTTTTTTTGGAGACAGGGTTTCTCTGTGTAGCTCTGGCTGGCTGTCATAGAACTCACTCTGTAGAGCAGGTTGACCTCAAACTCACAGAGATCTACCTGCCTCTGTCTCCTGAGTGCTGGGATTAAAGGTTGTTTTTCTTTTTGAGACTGGGCTTTACCTATAGTCAAACCAGCCTGGAACCCAAAGCAATCCTCCTGCGTCAGCCTTGGCGTCATGGGTGTGTGTCACTCACTATACCTAGCCTCAAGACTCACTCTAAAACCTTTACATTTGGGGGGAGTGCACACGCACACAGAGACAAGTCAGAGGTCCACCTACAGGCATGACTCTCTACTAGCAGAGGCTGGTCTTGAACCCCCAACATTCCTGCCTCCCAGATTCCATACCTCCCAAATGCTGAGCTCAGAGATGTGAGCCACTATATCGCACTTGTATTTCTTTATCTGATGCTTTCTTCGAATGCTCTCACTCTGTGCTTGGTCTGGAGCTCTGGTCGAGCTTCCTGCTTCCACCTCCCAGGTTTTGACATCTTAGATGTTCACCACCAACCTTGAACTAACTCTAATTCCAGATCGGGAGGATTTTCTTTTCCAAGGCAAATGTAATGTGTAAACTATAATTGTTTCTTTTCTTTTCTTTCTTTCTTTTTTTTTTTTTTGATTTTTCGAGACAGGGTTTCTCCGTAGCTTTTGGTTCCTGTCCTGGAACTAGCTCTTGTAGACCAGGCTGGCCTCGAACTCACAGAGATCCGCCTGCCTCTGCCTCCCGAGTGCTGGGATTAAAGGTGTGCGCCACCACCGCCCGGCTGTAAACTATAATTGTCCAAGGAAATCAGGCCCATGGAGGCCCTTAGGGGACTCCGGTACAGACAGGTAGCAGCCAGGTCCTAGACACTCTCAGGTACTCACCTGAGGCAGCGCTCCACATCTGGATCACTCCTGTAGAACTGGAGGCCTCCATGTTTCAGGGCATCTTCCGGGTTGGCAAAAGCCTGTAACACATTGGCCAAGGGTCACTCTCCCTGAAGAGGTCCTTGTCTGAGGACAGAGCTCAGGGGCTAGGTAACAAGACAGCTACTACACACCCTACAGACCATTCAGCCTGCTCCCCTGTAGACCAAAGCTTATGCCGGCGAAAGCACTCTCCCGCCCGTCTCTTGGGCTTGTAGGTTGAGAGATCATTAACCTGGAGCTCAGTGTGACTAGTTAGCCTTGCACACTCAGGAGGGGCTCAGCGTGACTAGCTAGCCTTGCACACTCAGGAGGGGCTCAGCGTGACTAGCTAGCCTCGCACACTCAGGAGGGGCTCAGTGTGACTGGCAAGCCTCGCACACTCAGGAGGGGCTCAGCGTGACTGGCTAGCCTCGCACACTCAGGAGGGGCTCAGCGTGACTGGCTAGCCTGCACACCCAGGAGGGGCTCAGCGTGAATAGCTACCCTTGCACACCCAGGAGGGGCTCAGCGTGACTAGCTAGCCTCGCACACCCAGGAGGGGCTCAGCGTGACTAGCTAGCCTTGCACACCCAGGAGGGGCTCAGCGTGACTGGCTAGCCTCGCACACCCAGGAGGGGCTCAACGTGACTGGCTAGCCTCGTACACCCAGGAGGGGCTCAGCGTGACTGGCTAGCCTCGCACACCCAGGAGGGGCTCAGCGTGACTGGCTAGCCTCGCACACTCAGGAGGGGCTCAGTGTGACTGGCTAGCCTCGCACACCCAGGAGGGGCTCAGTGTGACTGGCTAGCCTGGCACACTCAGGAGGGGCTCAGCGTGACTGGCTAGCCTCGCACACTCAGGAGGGGCTCAGCGTGACTGGCTAGCCTCGCACACTCAGGAGGGGCTCAGCGTGACTGGCTAGCCTCGCACACTCAGGAGGGGTTCAGCGTGACTGGCTAGCCTCGCACACTCAGGAGGGGCTCAGCGTGACTGGCTGCCTCGCACACTCAGGAGGGGCTCAGCGTGACTGGCTAGCCTCGCACACTCAGGAGGGGCTCAATGTGACTAGCTAGCATAGCACACTCAGGAGGGGCTCAGAATATGTATCCATAGTACTGTGTCTGCCTAGCATGCATGAGTCCTTAGGTTCTAGTCCATGAATCTCAAAAAATAATTTAAAGTATTTAGCAGAGTGTGGTGGCTCACGCCTTTAATCCCAGCACTCCAGAGACTGAGGCAGGCAATCTCTGTGAGTTTGAGGGCAGCCTGGTCTATGTGGTAAGACCCTGTCTCAGAAGATTAAAAACAAACAGACAAGCTAGAGAGGTGTTGGAGAGCCTGATCAGACACTCAACCCCCCCCTTGACCACCAGGCTCTGCAGCTTCCGGGTGCCAGGATAAAACGGAGCACCTGAGCCTCAGCGGAAGAGCAGGGCAGCTGGAGAGGGCCGGAAAGACAGTAGAGGCCCAAGGTCACATTTTTGCCTTTGGGGACTTGTGACTCACTGGCAGCTACTCCCTGCTGCAGCGCCAGGCAAATTCTCCCCCCATCAACTCTGGTGACAGCTGAGTCAACTCTTCTAAACATGGGGTGCTTCACTCTGTTCTGTCCCTGGAGCCCCAGCTGTGGCCTGCTCCTGCCCCGCTCTGAAGAAAATGTAAAATGGCATTATAAGGCCGAGAACTCCCACCCAGAATTACCCCTTGCTGGTTCCCAAGTCCCCCAACCCTGAGGGCCAGGCTTTGCCACCAGTAGAGCCCCTGCGGTCAGCTATTGGGGAGCCACTTCTAGTAGGTCAAGGAGCATAGACTCCCAGGAAGGACCTAAGCGGCTGCTGTTCATGTCAGATTCCAGCAGGAAGCAGTCTTACAGACCAGAGTGGTGTCACCTTTGCCAATCAGGTCTCTAGGTTCACAGAGCCAGACACTGAGCTCCCAGTCGCCCAGGTCCCCAGGCCTGTGGGGAGAGGACGTTGAGCCTGTCCCCATTCTCTCTGCAGAGGGTGATCCTCTGGTTCCTCTTGGCAGAAAGGAGAGGCACCGAGGAGCCCCAGGGCCCAAAGCAGGGGCCCCTTTATCTGGAGTTATGGGGGATGGAGACCAGGAGGAAGTGAGGCTCAGGAACCAGACACTAAGCTTCAGGGGATGGAAGGAACCCCAGGAAGACAGCATCTCCTCAGCCCCGTGGGAAAATTGAGGTAACCTAACTTTCTCTGCCTCCTCCAGGCTCTGGTGGTAATTTAGGGCTCAGATTTGGTGCCTCTGCAAAGGGGACAAGGACAGAGTATAGCGATCTCTGCCTGGCATCTGTGTCCTACATCCCAGGACAGACTAAACAGGAGAACCAGAGGCAGTCAGTAAGTGGTGGCCTTGCCTTTATTCCTGCCAGTAAGTGCCCTAGGGGCTGAACCCCGCGGGAGGGCAAGAGTCCCACCCAGGGACCCCACCCGCACCCTGTCCACGCTGCCTTTGGACTGGACAAAGGCTGCTTTTGAAAAGGCAACAAATACTTCGTGCAATTCTGCTTTCCAGCGGCTTCCAGGGGTTCATCCAATGCGGAGAAATGGGTCGGAGTGTCCTGGCCACTCCCACCGGCTCCGTGTGGGCTTTTTGCTGCTGTTTCCTTCCCTGGACTGGGATCACAGAGTGTTGTATGTGACCCCTCTGGCTAGGACCAAACCTCAGAGGCTGCCGTCAGTCTGTGTGTGGCGTCCACGGGGAGTGGGAATTTCCACGGAAAGACTTCTGGGGCTCCTGATTTACCGGTTCCCACTCCACCCAGATATGAAATTCCTCCCTGTCTACCGGGAAACCGCCAGGTCAGAACACCTATCTCTTGTTGTCAGAGTTCCTGTGTTCCACGTGCGTCTCCTGGTGGAGGTCGCTTCCCCTGGTGCTGAGAGAGGAAACCCCGGGTGCTCTCAGACCGGCAGGTTCAGGAGCCGAAGCCCAGCATCCAGAAGGGCTGCGGCGGCAGCTTTGACATAGCTACTTTTGCACGCTGGCAAACACACCTCCCCACTTTATTCGGCTCCCAGAGTTTCTTGCCGGGGGGGGGGGGGGGGGGGGGAGCAGCAGAGTGCTAATCCCCTCACACACTCCCGCTCACACACACACGCCAGGTCACGCCAGGTCACGTACCTTCTTCCGAAGCCTGGTGTAACCTGTGATGACACCCACCGCGTACATCTTGATAACCAGCAGTGTGCCGCAGAGCAGGAAGGCCGGGAGCGCCTGGCCGTTCTCCATCACCAGGCCCAGAGAAGGCATCTCAGCAGGTCTGGGCTCCAACTCCAGGACACGGTGACTGACTGAGGCTGAGACTGTCCCACAAGGCAGTCTGGGGAGAGGAGGAGAAGGAGGCGGGCCAAATCCTGAGGAGGCGGTCACCCCCGCCCACTCCCCGCCCACCCTGAACAAACCACAGCAGGGCCCCCTGCTCCAAGAAAGAAAGAAACGGGGACTTCTGCTCCTAGTGCTGGGAGAGTCAGAGGAATGGAGGTGTCCCCACGCCATCCTTGGCTCTGGACCACTGTTCCCTGGCAAGGCCTCAGACTTCCTAATCTGTTTCTCATCCTAACTCCAGCTCATCGACCTCCGCTGCGGAAGTTGTCACTGACCCATGATCACCTTCCAGCAGGAGGGCAGGTAGAGGGCAGGAGAACTAGGCCTTCTGTGCTAATGTCTCTGTGATGCTAGACACGCAGTCACGGAGATGGACTGCCTCTGCAAGCTGGATGGTGAGACAGGTCCTTCCACCATCTAGCAGGATCAGACCTCCACTTCCCAGTTCAAATCTGTGTGTGTGTGTAGGGGGGGTCATTTGGGTGTGTACATGTGCAGGTGGGTGAGGGTATACATGTGTGTGGAAGCCCGTAGCTGACTTCACATGACTTCCTCTATCGCCCACCACCTTTTTTAAAGTTTCTTTTAAAATTACATATATTTAGTGTGTGTGCGTGTATGTGCCCTGGCTGGCCTGGAACTCACAGAGATCCACCTGCCTCTGCCTCCCGAGTGCTGGGATTAAAGGTGTGCGCCACCACAGAAACCAGGTACCACATAAATCACTTATGCCTGTGATCCCAGCACTCAAGATGTAGTCACCAGATCAGGAGCACAAGGTCATCCCCCCCCCCCCCCCCCCCGCTATGTAGTGAATTTGAGGCCAGCCTGAGACATATTAATGCCTACTTCAAAAATAAGGGCTATTGAGATGGCTCAGTAGGAAAAAGTGCCTGCCACCAAGCATGAAAGCGGGCTTCGTTCCCAGCCTCACATGGTGGAAGGAGGGAAGTGACTGAGGCAGGTTGTCTGACCACGGGCATACACACAGATTATAAAATAAATGTAAAAAGGATTAAAGCAGTAAAATACTTCTGTCTACAAGACCCAGTGACAGCATCTGCCATGCAGTCGCTACCCCTTGCTTAGAGCCCCAGAGCCTCAGTTTCCCCTCCTCAGAATGGGGCTAATGGTTCCTGCCTAACTGGATTGGCAGGGGGAAGTCCTTGCTGCTGGGGGAAGTTGTGAGTCTTCAGGCTATACCTTACTTAAGAACTAAAGATGTGCTTGATAAGACAGTGTCTGTGTTTCCAAAGTACAGGGTCACCATGCCAGGCTTGGGAGCTCTTGACAGATAGAGCTCTCCCAGGAAAATGGGCTCAGTGCGGTCCGCTTGTCCTGAGGCATGTTTTATCATCTGTGGCTACAGGATGGGGAGCTGAGCGAGTAGCCAGCTTTCTGCTGTTTGCTAGGGATCTGCTTCGGGTAACCACCTTCACAAAGGTAAAGCACCTTGTCAGGAACGAGGGGTCTCCTCTGACCTCCATATTTGTGCTGTAGTACTTGAGGGTATGCCTGCACTCTTACACACACACACACACACACACACACACGCACACGCACGCGCACATACACTCAGCCCGGTGGCACACACCTATATTCCCAGCACTCCAGAGGTAGAGACAGAGGTATCAGAGGTTCAAGGCCAACCTTGGCAACACCTTGAGTTTCAGGCCGCCCTGGACTACACAAGGCTCAGAGAACTTGCTAAGCATCACGAGAACCCAAGTTCAAATCCTCAGCTCCCATGCAAGTAAGTAGCCCCAGTGCTGTCCAGGGCAAAGGCAGGAGAGGCACTGGGCTTGCAGGGGAGAGGCAGGAGGGGCACTGCTCTGGGTGTGGTGAGAGATTATTGTTATTCTTTTTTAAAAAATGCTGCAAGATCCCTGGTGGCAGTAGGCAGCAGAAATGTTGTAGGTCCCAAAAGGTGGTGGCGGGCCATGTGGTGGCAGGCAGCGGGCCCTGGGAGCAGCCAGTCCCAGGCAGAAATGGCTGCCGGTCCCCGAGCAATGGCTGGTTCCAGGCAGGGAGACACATGGCAGGCGGGCAGAAGACAGAAACATGGATAGACACGACATGCAGGGTGAGGCTAAATGTTTATTCAGGGGGTTATGGAGGAGGAAGGGTAAATGGGACAGAGAGAGAGGGAGAGAGAGGGGGAAGAGAGAGAGAGAAAGAGGAGGAGAAAGAGACAGAGAAGGGGGAAGCAGAGAAGTGGGGAGAGAGGCAGAAGCAAAGCTGCCTCTCTGAGAGGAAGATGGAAAAGAGAAAAAGCTCAGGCCGGAAGCTGAAGATCAGCCTGCCTCAGAGGATGGGGAGGGGAATGGGTGTGGCTTGTCTCTTAAAGGGACCAAAACCATATCCGAGTCACGGCACCATTTGTTATTCTTAAAAAATAAATATATGGAGGGGTTCCCAGCGGCAGCGGGAAGCCACGTGGCGGAACCCCCAATGCAGCGGGCGCATGTGAGCAGACCCATGGAGCCATAAAAGCAGTTGCTAGCCCCGAAGAGACGGTTGTCGGTCCCCGGGGCAGGCTGGCGGAGACGCCATGCGACAAGCAGCTACGCGGGTAACAGACATATAAATACAGGAAATAGCCATAAGCATTTATTAAAAAAGAGGAAAGGACTTTCTTAGAGAGAGAGAGAAAGAGAGAGAGAGAGAGAGAGAGAGAGAGAGAGGAGGAGGAGGAGAGGAGCAAAGCCCCGTGTGTACACCGGGAGAGAAAGCAGGAGGAGAGAGCAATGGCGGGCGAGGTCAGAGGTTAAAAAGGATTGGGCGTGGCTAGTGCAGGGACCGAAAGAATAACATTGATGTTCTCCACCAGCCTCTACTCATTCATACACAAACATGTGCACCTCTATCCACAAGCACATGTACACACACTGCACACATACATTATACACACTTTCTGACAAACACCACCAACAATAACAACAAAAAGAATAGCCTCCAGGCAAAGGCCAGGGCCCTGGTTCCCTATCAGAGCACTTGCCCAATGTTTCTGAGGCTCCTGGATTCCCGCTCTAGCAGCAGAAAAAAAATCACACTAAATAAAAACCTCAGTTGTTGCTAGGTGTAGTGGCACACACCTTTAATTCCAGCACCTGGGAGGCAGAGGCAAGCAGATCTCTATGAGTTTGAGGCGACTAGCCTGATCTACAGAACAGCTAGCCTTATCTATAGAGTGACTCCCAGGACACCCAGGGCTACACAGAGAAACCCTGCCTTGAATAAACAAACAAACAAAAAACACAAACCAAACAAAACCAAACAATCCTCAGTCGTGAGGTTGCTGTCTGTAGGCTCTACTGTCCCCTAGATCATAAACCAGACCCACTCAAGCGGCCTTTACTGTGCAGCCCTCCATGGACCAGGGGGGCAAGGGGCCAGCTGCACCTTGCTTGGCCCTCTCTGAAACAAGCTACCTGCGCTAAGTCAGGCAAAGCGTGACCCCTGCTGTGAACAAAACCTCAGACATGTAGGACCCAGCCTCAACAAACTCAATAGAGGCCTGAGTCTCAGTAGTTTACCCTGAGGCAATACCTGGTTGAGATAGAGATAAACTGAGACTATCCAGGCCATCCAAAGGAAATTCCCGAGGTTCCAACCTTTGTAGATAGGATCACGGGCCAGCACACACCCATAGATTTTCACCTAGCCATGACACCCTAGACAAATGTCAGTCAATCAGGGGTCCTAAACCTTAGAAACCTGTCACCCCACACCCTGCTAAAGTAACTTTTCTGGGTTTTGCCTTTAAATAATGCCCTCTAGAAGGCAGGGGACCTCCTCTTGCTGCTGCTGCGCCAGTTGCTTTGATGAGGTCCTTGACAACTTGCATTGTGCACACAGTAAACCTTGCTTTTGCATTTCGGTGAGTCTGTCTCCCTGGTGGGTTTTTGGGGTCCCCACGGACTGGGCACAACCAGAAGCTGCATCTGCCAGACTAAGGAAAACCCCCGGAAGGAGCCTATATCTTCGGAAATTGTGGAGAAGTTGAAATGTTGCTGGTCTAGAATCCCTAACCCCCTGTGTCAGAACCTCTGTCGAAAGCCAAGGTCGCAAGGTCATCAGTTAACACTTCAAGCCTATAGCCAGGTCTACGGGATAGTTCCTGCCATCTTGCTGTTCTTGCCTTCCTGAAGTGTCCTCCAATGTGGTTTTTTTTGGTTTTCCGAGACAGGGTTTCTCTGTGGTTTTGGAGCCTGTCCTGAAACTAGCTCTTGTAGACCAGGCTGGTCTCGAACTCACAGAGATCCGCCTGCCTCTGCCTCCCAAGTGCTGGGATTAAAGGTGTGCGCCACCACCGCCCGGCCCCTAATGCGTTTTAAACTTACTTTAGTGGATGACTGTCTCCGTTCTTTAAAACTATACAAACTCCATGAAACTGCTTCCTTGCCGGAGCAAGGGATTTTTGGTTACCTAAATCTGTGAAATCTGTGTTCCCAGGTCATGGTCCCTCTGAGCTCCTACTCTGACAGATCCCTTTTTGGTCTGCTTTCGGAGTGTTTGGTGGAGGCATCTCCTTTATTTTCCCTGAAAGCATTTCGGTCTGAACCGCTTGGCTTGCCTTTGGCCCTCAACAGGTATTTTAGACTCTGGCTGCCCAGCTTGTTTCTGGCATTTTTGTTCACTTTTTGGAACTTTAAGGCATTTTGATTTTTGTTTTAGCTGTCTTGGGTTTTCAGTGTCTTTGAAATGTTTTCATTTGTTATCTTTCGGCCTTTGTCACCTGACATTCCTCCTCAGATGCACAACTCTGATTTTTCTTCTGCTTTTCTGTGACCTTGACAAGCCTTTAGCCTAGGAATTTTATGGGTGCCTGATGATAAAAAAAAAGACACCAAAACAAAAGTCTCTCCCACCCAAGAGTGTGGAGGTGTCAGAGGGACCTCCAGGACCTGCTACGGCCTTGGCCTTGTAGGGAAACCCAACAAGCATTCCCCGTGCCTGGGTCGGAAGGAG